TGTGTGTATATATATATATATATATATATATATATATATATGTATGTATATATGTCTACGTAAAGAATACACATGTGCATATACAGCGAATTAGTAGTGAGATTTGTAAGGAAGTCAGAGAGGAGCGCCATCATGTGATGATGATTTTCATTCTCGACCCCTCTCTCGTACGCGTTTACTCGCTTGCTTGACTTCTTTATTATCACCTATTACACGTCGTATCTATTATTTAGCGAAGAGAGATTCCGTCATGGATAAACATTAATCTAGTCATTGAATTTGAAATAAATATGAAAGAAAATGCATTTGATAAAAATAACAGCATATTCCTCGATCAAACGCAATAACAAAATCACAGCGATATCGTACATCCATTTCTAAATCCACATCTTAGGAGATAGAACAATTATTAGATTGCATTAAGAAACCATGGAAAACGTCTTAAATCTACAGTTTCGAGAAACATACGTTACGCGTTAAAGAGAGCTTTGCAACATGTGTAATATATATATTGCATCTTTCTTTTTTTTTTAAATATGAATTTAACAGAGACGACATCGATCACGACTTCTCTGTCTCCTTTTTATCATACATACGGGCCTTTCTTCTTTGATATAGATTTGGTAGCAAGTCGTGGACGCTGACAGTCTATAAGTATAATCAAACGCATTCGATCGCCTTAACATTATAGCCTAGAAAATAATCGCCTTTACAAACTAGTAAGAAAACCGAATAATCGTGTCGACACAGTGCGCGTGGCGCTTTGAATAAATAATATCTCGTATAAGTAAACACGTGGTCAACGTTTGGTCGCGCGCGATGTATCGAGCGATTCAGCTGAGTCGCCTTCAGCTTCGTCAGCGCGTGCAGTTACGATTGATGTAATCACGCAGCCTAAAAGCTTCCTCGGAGGGGGAGTTGAAAATGTCCTCGTGAACCTCGTCATAATTCGACGTTGGAACCGCCGCGACGAACGTATCGATTGAAGTAATCCGGCCGCCAGCATTTGCAGCTTCCCGGCACCAAGAACCAATCGTAATACAGTCGCACCTGAAAGGAGGAATAACGAAGAAATTCGTACAGAATAAAGTAACAAATCTGAAATCTCACGTTAAATGATACAAGATGAAATTATCGAAATCAGAGACCGACTCGTTATGTCACGTTAACATCTTGACGACGGATAAAATTTCGCCGAAAGTTTGCTAAAATTGTGCGCACGTGTCCAAAGGACTCTCATTTCCCATTGCCAACGCGTATTTGTACGAAAGCAAGATTTCTCGTTCTCCGTCATTAATGTATTAAGGTACGCGTAATTCTTTTACCCACACAGAAAAAACTCGATCCCTGCAACTGAAATTAAAACTCGGTCGAGACAACTGAGTTGAGTAATTGTATGGGCGGAAACTTCCTATAAGAATTTTTCTGTTCCTACAACGGAGTTTTTGTCCGGTCCCCAGGGAGCGGAAAATTCAATTACACCGACGGAATTATTTTTTCCATACAACTCTGTTTAACGGAACAATAAAGGCGATAAAAGTAGAGAAGGGAGCAAAATGAGGATGAGACATTGTGTGACATCGCGCGCTCACCTGGAAGCAGCCCATCTCGTCGACACCGTCGCAGTGCTGCTGAACGCTACCGTTGTTATTACGCGCCTCCCCCGTGCTCGCGCGTTTCTGCAGATATTGCTGGTAATTTTGAAAATCGTGGACCGGTGGCGGCGATCCGGAGATAGGTTCTCGCGCGGGACCGGTCCCAGGACCGGAGCTTTGATTCTCCTCTATGAACGTGTCCGGATAAAATATTTCTGCGACCAGCAGACTCGTCCATCTTGGTGACGATAAGCATCCCCCATCCAAGTAATGACATCTCGATTGCCTGCAACCATGTGTCTGACTGAAACGCGTTCAACTAGCTCACTAGCATAACTAATGCATAAAAATTACATTAATAAAAAAAATAAAAAAATAATATTTTCGTAATATCATGAATATATCTACCTCAACTTCGTTTTAAATTAATATCTATTATTTAGGTAATGAAATAAATATGTAGAAACATTTAATTAGTAATCTTGCTCGATAAACACTAAATTTATGAGTGACTCGTTGGACGCGCCACTGAAAATACGGCACCCAACGCTATAACAACCTTAAGAGCGTCAAGGTAGCATCAAAATGCCGACTTGAGTCAATTCAAGCTTCGACCTTTCGAGCTTGGCATTTAAACTTGGCTGACGCGCGGTAGTCGATGAGATCCAGTTGCGATCGATATCTTACATGCATCTGGTGAGTTCAATCGTTTGCGTGAAGTAACCTTCGTACGGTATCTGTACCACGTATCTCCAGACACCCTGGTAATTCTTGGCGAAAACGGGGGTGGCGTATTCGACCTTGGCCGGGCACGGTGTCGGTGGTCCCGTGTATTCCGTTTTCTCCTGCGACGGAACGCGTTCACCACGTCGATACTCGGACGTCGACGGCTCGTCCCGACGCTCGATAACCGACGCTGACGACGCGATCGGTTCGCCTTGAATCGCCTTGTATAACATGCACACTCTGCTCAACGAGAGAGAACAGTGTCGATTTACGGTCGATTCCTAATAATTAATTTGCGACACTCTGAATCGATGCGTTGGAGCTACAATACTCACACACCACCACCGTTTTCGCAAAACTTGCGGCCGTTTCGATTGGAATCCGTAGTCGAATCTGCCGGACTGGATCTCTTGCTTCTACCACGTTTCTCCTCCTCGTCTGTATCGACGCTGCGGAGAGACAGACTGTTAATTGATTTGATACGCGCGATTATACCAAAAATTAGCGTATCCACTAATCAAATATTAATTAAAGATCAATGTAATTTTTTTTCGTTTCTTCAGTCCTAAGAGAAAATTTGTCAGATAGCATGTACAGTCTACTCTACCGACTATGTCGTTTAATTAACATTTTAGTAATTCAAAGACGAAATTGACGGTCGAATTCGGAAAATTTTTAAACTTCGAGTCCCTTACGAATTCTGCGATAGCGGGTGCACTTTGGCAACCTTCGGCAACGAGTCGTCGGCCTTGAGGATCGGTAACGCTTTGCTGAGAAACTTGAGAGTGTGATTCTTTATCAATGCGCTGCGAAGAAAATTCATAAATAGTCGGTTTTCTTTTTAATCGCCGATCGTTGATCGCGAATTCTAAAATAAACATATGTGATTACTTACAAGGGATACGACGAGCCGTTTACATATTGTTTCATCGGATTCCGCGGAATGTAGCCTTTGTTCAAGTCGCCGCAGATATTATGTATCGAAACATACCCCTTTCCCTGCTTGCCGCTGTCTGAAACCCAAACGTCACGTTCGAACAGGCTGTTTTGTCAATGTAGTGGATAGTGAAAAAAGAAATATTTCGTGCTTTACGAGTAAATAATAAAACGTTCTAATATAATTTAATTCGAATTGTCTGTTTTCGTAGTTGTAGTTTTTCATCTAGATACCGAAGCATTCTTTGTCGCTGTCGATGTAGGGCGGCGGTCGAACCCGGGGTGGTTCCGCGTTCGGCGACTCGACGAACGCGTAGTAACCCTCCGGAGGCTCGTCCTTCCCCGCGGCTTCGTTGTCGTTGACGATCGGCTTGTTGTTATTTCTGAATCTCTCGTAATCCTCGGCGTAAGACGACGCGCACAAGAGTATCATCTGAAGCACACGCAGATCGCTTTCAGAGATTGTAAATATAAAAAAAATTACAATTAAAGTATAAAGGCATATGCTAAAATTGCGTAATTACATAACGCATGTGCACAAGGAAATCGAAAACAATCATGATTCGTGCGATAAAAAGATGTCTTTTATAATGGACACGCGACTGATCTACTTTCTTGCGCTTATACATTATGCACATTTGTCTGAATATGCCTTATCAAAGGTTAAAAAGAGCGAGCGCGTCTTTTCCCAACAATACACCGCATGTAGTATAATTAGGAGGTGGCTTTACCTCAAGTTCAAGACTAAATTAGTGGATGAACGATAATAAAAATTGCCAGTACTAATCTTCAGTTCTCTAGTTTGTCGTTCAACAATAGGCAAAATCGGTCGACTATCATTTTAAATCGTAGATTAGATTATTCAAAATTCAGTGAAAGCCATTCTGAGACCGCACACCGATGATTTCTGTTTCAACATCGGTAAATCGATATGATCGATGTGGTCGATGCGATCGACACAACCTATCGACGGCAAATTTAAAATGGTATAACTTCATGGCGTTGAGGCCATTATGGCGGACAGTGCGCGCATTTTACTCGTGTGCGGGCTTAGATTCTCGAATGGAAGAAGAAATTCCGGCCGACGGCGAGAGAGTCGAGCCTGTATGGAATTTGTGTGTGTGACGAGCAAACAGGTAACGGCTAATGAGCATTACGTTATACGTCGCGCCGCATCGACACACCGGTTGCAGTTGGAATGGTGTATCGCCTCGTAGTTACCGAAGTATGCGTTCGTGACGCTAACGGTATACGGTCCACGCTCTTCGCTGCGGGCCGCTCAGCCTATTTTATAACGCGCGCATTGAGTCGAGCGTTGTCCTACTAACCGAGGCGTTATACCGTTTCATCGACGAATTTCACACAACAGATTCCACGGTCGATTTTACTCATTCCACAAGTAATTTTACGATTAGTGATCAGCGCGCGCGCGCACGGCGGGACGCTGTCGAATATCGAGGCGTTCTGAATTTTCTAACGATTGAACGGAACTCCTCTTTATCGAGGACGCGATCGAATCCGCGTTAAGTTACGTTTCTTTCCAACACGAATCAACGACGATTGATAACTCAAATCTTTTTTAGTCGAAATGTCTATTGGGGATGTGCAAAAAAATCTTGGACAGCAATCGTATAATTTTTCTTTAGGGCGGAAACGTGAAAAGTGAGACATTTTTTCACGCAAGTTTTTTCAAATTAAAAAAATTTACACATTTCACGAGTTCACAGCCAGAGAAAAAGATTCATTTCCTCCGGGAGGTCAGGGGAGGGGCGGGGTAAATTTTATAATTTGAAAACATTTGGAAATGTTCAATTTTTATATTTCCGCCTTACGAAGAAATGCTTTGATTGCTGCCCTGCTATCTGAATCTTCTGTCGCAAGAATCAAACGAGAAATTTGTATAGAAGATTCCATTAATGTCCCATTCCCTAAGCATATCGGAAATCAAGAGTTTTGTGTTCGAATATTCGTATATCATGACTGGTAATTATTTGTTAGTCCGGCAACGATCCTCCAAATCAGCTGTCATGATGCACAGGTATTTTGAAATAATGTATCTGATTTGAAATTTTCAATGCCTAGGAAGATTTACTATATCGAGAATAGGATTGCGTTAATGGAATCTTCCATACGCTAATATCAGCCAATTAATAATTACATATAGAAACAAGTAGAAAGTGTTAACGAGACATAAGAGCGTCTCTCACATGACGAAACTGGCGACAACAAATGTTTTTCCACAAGCGAACAAGTCCCTATGGTTGTAAACCTTGCACAAATTATTACCGCTATGCGGGGAATGCATGTGTGAATTAAATAAAAATACACGCATGCCGGCACGAATACCTGTAGCCCGATTTTCACGATAAGAATACCGTAATACCGTTACCGTTGTTCGCGCTTTCAATTTTTCGCCGGGTATCGAGCGCGCCACTTATACCGACGTTTACGAGTTCAACGATAATAGAAGAAGAATAACGAACGAATTGACTCTCGTAACGCAGCGCATTTGATGGTATTCGAAGGAGACTTTTCACGGTAGATATCCTTCCCGTTGCCCGCGTCAAGTGGACGTCCGTCCTACTTTCTTGCGGTAGATCCGAGCGTTAGGAAGCGCCGATACAGTTACGAAGACGGTGACGTCTCCAAACCGGTATCAGGAGACAGAAACGGTAGACTCGATTCATTTAGCGCGCCGCGATCGTGCTTACGGAACTTCCCACTTAATGCAGAATTAATTCCTCAATTATGTCGAAATTCCGTACACTCCATGTCGCATTCTGACGTTGCAGAAACCGGACTTTCGGAAAACTACTATATACGGATCCGATCGTGGAAGAAACATCGCGGAAAGAAGGAGAAAAGCGAGCTGAGAAATATTAAGATATCTTAAGTACGAGTACACGGCATCTCTGACACTGAAACATCTAATAGACGTCTCGGGACGTCTTTCAGATATGCGTGTGCCTCGGAGAACATTTCTATGTTTGTGCTGAAGTGTTTTCAGGCGGAAAGAAAAGCAGAAGTTTAATCAGAACGATATATCCGTTAGTTGTCACGCAAAAAGTAAGCGATAGTTAGTACACATCTCGAAATCGTAGCAATAAAGAATACTCGTGACTTACGACAAAAGTGCGAAATTCCATGGCGCGTTTGTCGAATCCGACGTGAGCAAAGAGAGAAGGAAACACGTGCGCTTTTCGCGAGAGATCGTTGTGAATCCACCGAACTTTCCTCGAGAATTATCTCGCGAAGCCAGTCTTCTGGCCTCTCTACCAGCCGACGGTCATTGTAAAACTGAATTTCTCACCATCCTGTAGCGTAGAACAGCTCGATAGGCCGCTCACCTGCCCGCCTACCTTCACCTTGTCCGTGTACTTGACCGTCAGCGAGATGGAGGTGCGAGGAGGAAGAACCGTGCTTTGATATTTGAAGTTCCTGTCTCCGCCGCAGTCATGTCAAATTACTATGTCAAAAGCGAAAAATTCCAAAATACCTTTTCGTTTTTAAATTTTACGTCGAAATCGACTATCTTTTTCGCGTGACCACCGATAATGCAAAGTGGGCCATTTTTTCGCTTAGTGAATTAATTCATATTATTTTGACATTATGATATTATCTCGAGACAAAGGTTCACATAATCATCTCTTGTTTCTATGTGGGCACAATTAGAGAGATTAGAAATCTTAATTCGTTCAACCCGAAATGATGGGGACTAAATCGAATTTCACACATTGTTCTCTTGTAACATTATTTTATTTTGTTTCTCGCTTCAACCGATATTTTTAATCAAATTGTCTCAAGAAGAACTAATTCTAGGTTCCTGGATTTATATATTTATGTTTTCTTATATTCTACTAATAATTTCTTACGTAAATAAAAGACGTTTCATAGTATCTAAGGAGACTGGTATTAGGCGCGGATTTGTAAAGATAATTATTATAAATTAGTTAACTGTTGGCATGAGTTGTGAACGAATAGTTCGTTAAAATTGGTTCGAGCATAGTGTATTTTATGGGGTAACGCGTGTATTTATGCGAAACTCTACGATATGAAATATTATATGCATAAAGACAAATGTATTTTTCTCGGAGAGTTATATACGTTCAGTCGCGAATGGTTAAATCGAGTTACATGATCGAGATAGGAGGGGAAAGACTTAACGCGAACGAGTCGTTAGTAAGTGACATTCAACTCCATCTCGTCTTTGTGATAGATGTTCACGTCCTTCAGCATCATGTTTGGTCCGTCGTAGTGGAAGTTGAGGACGGGCCTGTCCAACGGGAATCCGAGAGGCTTGTTGTCGAATTTATAGTTGCCGAAGACGCGGGACATGTAAGGCACGGTCTCACCCTCGAGCGGATTCACGTACACAAACATGGTAAAGGGCATGCCCTCCTTCTTGCCCTTGGGCAACAGAAGACGTTCCGGGAAACCGTAGAGGCGTTCCACGTAGGGCAGAGACTCCATGCCGTCCAAGCTGTTCAGCACCTTCTTGTAGAACACCTCGCTCGGCTCCGGGTCGGGAATAGTGAAGTAGCAATCTTGACTGTGACGCACAATCTTGTTGGCACCGGCGTTCACTGCGTGTGAAACGAAGAAAAAAGAATTAGATAAGCGGAATAGGATTGAAATCGGGTTATATAAGGGTTCGTTCGTTGATATTTAATTACTCTCTAAATTTTTTGGAGTGCAATGTCTTTCGAAAGAAGTGAAAATTTATTCGAATGGAAATACTCGAATGAAAATACACTCAGAATCATAAGTTAACTCAAATTCAGGGTGACTTCCATCAAACTTTGATTAAGTTAATACTGAAGCGAGAAGATCAGTCAGTCTCAGAAAGTAAGACTAATTTAAATTCTACTGGGAGAAAGATTGAGTTTGTACTAACAGTCGACTATAAAGTTGTCCATCTCGTAGAAATATTTGAAGTTCTCGACGAAGTCCATCGGTTTGTGATGAATGTCGTACTTCGGACCGAGGAAGATACGCACGACGGCTTTCATAGCCTTGTCGGCGTTGATAGCGAAGTGGAAGCTGAAGGGTTTGTGATTGAGACGATACTGACGAATCTTAATCAGCGTGCTCTCGGCTTCCTTTGCATCGTCGAACATCAGGCCGTTGTTAATCGAGGCGTCGAATTGGTCGAAGTAGGTGATCAGCTTGTCTACGACGAACGACTCGATCTTCAGTTCGGGATAGACAACCTCGTTTTTGTTATACGGTTTTTGATGCAGCTTGTACCTAGAAGCCAAATAAGTTAGGATTGTTGAGACCGAAATAACGAAGTGCACTCAATGAAAAACACGTTTTCCTCGACAAACTTATTGATTGCAACATCTAGCCCTCAGCAAATTTGTATTTTTCAATGAACTTCGGAATGCGTTCGGTATCCGCAAAAATTGATCGCAATCGAAAAATTTGGATTTACGGTGTTTCCTCGTAAGAATCGCTAAAAGACAAATTTTTGTTAAGCATGAGTACCTGTCGTAGAACAAATCGAATATTTTCTGGTAAATACGGTAGAAAGCGGGGTCCCTCATGGCGATGCTGAAGTACTCGAGTGCGCTTGGAACAATTTGGTGGGTCGTCGACGGCTCCAAGTTGTAGCCGAGGATCTTCTTCGCGAGAAAGTCGATGTTGCCGTAGTACTCATAGTTGTAGGAGTCCGCATTGCCCTCGACTATGTTGCCGACCATGTTGAGACCCCCGGGCGTGTAGATGTTGAACATCTTGTTGTTCATATCCTTGATATATTCGGAATCGATGGACGCGAGGATTCGAGACTCAAACTCGCTTACGTCCTGTGAGAACGAGAAAAGATATTTTCATTAAAATTGTCGTAAGATCCATTCTCGCTAAAAGCGTGGAACGAATTTAGATCGACTTTGCTAACGCGGAATAGCAAAAAAAGAAGTTTCCGGTACAATTGAGATCAATCATCGCACCTTTATGTACTTTTGCTTGTAATGCGGGAACTTGCTGAAGTATCCTCTCTGCGGGAATGGCAGCCCGTTGTGGTAGGTCATCGTCGGGTAGTATCCAACGAAGAATTGCCCGTTCCAATCAAAGTCCTCGACTTTACCGATGTCGTTAGACAATCGTTCCAAGTAGTAACGCATCAGCAACAGTTTGTGACCGTATAAATACGTTTCGCCACGGAACTTTTGCAATCCGACCTCCTCGCTCTTCAACCAGACTGGATTCTCCTTCCGGAAGTAGAAATAGTAGGTATTCAAGCCAATGTCCTCGGTGAAGTAGTTGAGCTTGTGCTCGACATCGTACTCGCGCGACAAATACCACCCGGAATAATTCGCCGGGATGGTGTAGGTGTTGTAGCCGCTGAATTTCTTCGAGTCTGCGTTGAACGTTAAAATTAACGTTAAAATTATTCAAACGATACAAAGCTGAAGAAGAGAATCAAGTTGCCAAGCCGCGCCTAATTTCACCGTTCAGACTTTTGCTGACTTGTACGGAAGTTTTAGAAATTTTGAAACAGAATTATATCTCAAGAATCCTATTCTTCGGATTTTTCTTACATCACATGTCAAGATAAATCGGTTTACTTCACGCGTCAATTAGTTCGATCGTTGCTCACCGAGTTTGCCGAAGAGTTTCGCGTGATGCGCCTTCTCGAGCACCTCAGAGTTGTAGAATGCATACGGATACATCTCGTAAGGCGGTGGTAACTGGATGAATTTGGTGTCTGCGCGACAAATAACGGCCGTGTACAGGGTGTCAAAGAACTGCATTTCGTTTACGTGAATGCGCGCCCAGAGCGCGGTTTTGTAGAAAGTGTCGAAGTCCTTGGCATAGTAGAACATACGAAACAGGGCTTCTTGTTCCTTCTGGAGCTTCGGATAGTACGAGGAGAATATCTCGCCGCGAGGGAGCATACCATACTTATACAGGTAGAGGAAATCCTTCACCACGGTCTATGAAATTATGCAAAATCGGCGTTAAACGATCGATCGGTTTGTGCTGTGAAATATCTAAAATGAGATTAAAACTGTTTTATCGTAATGGAAATATCCTGCTAAAGAAAATCAAACGCTTCGATTGTCAACGCAATGAGAAACACGTAAAAATGCAGACGAATTAAAACACAATAAATTAATTTAACGTACGTAAGTAAAAAAATTTATACTCAGAGGACCGTTACGAGCTTGATTTCTATTTTAACGTGTACAAAGAAAAAAAGATTGGATGAATTAACATGACAATGAACGAGTCAACAACGTTTTCGTTAAAGGAAACAGAATTTCTGGTCCTTATGAAGCAAATTTGGTTTTTAGAGTCAGAAATTCTATTTCCTTCAATGAATACACGTTTGGTTCGTTTATTATCATTATCGTTAACCCAACCTCTTTGTTCCCCGTGAAAATGCAACAGTGTCTTGTTATTTCGTGCCAATTAAAACGTAAACATTTACCGTGTTAGTGTAAGAATCGATGTTAGCTTCGATATTGTACGACTGGCCTTCCTCGTACAGGCTGGGGTTTATGAGGGATGGTTGCTTGTAGTAGTACAACAGATTGTAGATCTTTTTCTGCTTGAGGAGAAAGTCCTTGTCGGCGATTTTCGGGGTGTGGTGGTCCGCCGCTACCAGAGCGAGGCAGACGGCCGCGACGACGGCCAATACCGCCATCCACTTCATTTTTCCAATTTTCCGTTGAGCCGTAGAGTAGTCTTAGCTTGAGAGACAGATTCTGTGCGACGCACCGACGACGGAACATGCACTTTTATACACTTCCATCGAACGCGCAATCCGTATCAAACCGATAGGGTCACGGGGGCGCCGAGCGAATCGTATTTCGATATCGGATCGGTAGGCTTTTTGCTCTCGTTTAAATCCACCACCGCCGGTATTCGGTGTTGTTCCAATGAATCATTGTTTATGGATGCGATTGCAGATGTTCACTATTGTTTGTTCATTATCAATTGTTTGTCCGTTCAGTATAATGTCTGAGATGAATTCGGTAATTGAGAAATCGATAAATTGCTACGATGCGTCTGACGACAGATGAAGCGGTAATTCCCTGAAATAACAGCGCATGTAACGAGTATCCCGTTCGAATTTTTCAACACATAGAAAAAATGAAGAGAGTAGTGATCGGAAAGAATGTTAATACATTGCCAATCATATAAGTTACATCTTATCAAACTTAGAAAGCTATGTATTTCGTGAACGGTGCGCAGTAAAATATTTTGACACCTGAATTTTCACGATTCTTGCATAATAATCAGATCAATAGTGAACGTGATGACAAATAACATCAAATAATATGTTAAATCAAAGCCAATATATAATAAAATGTAACAGCAAAACTAATCATTTTTCTTCAGAATCATTAAAGGGATTAGGTTGATCGGACAACAACAAGGAAAAAAAAATTATCCTATTGGTTGGCAAATGTTAATACGATTATCTTGTATATTATATTGATGACATTCGTAGCCTCGCTTCGTGTCATGCCCCCGACGAAAGATAACGCCGTTCATCGAACGAGAATTGTCGATACATTTTCGCACGAGAGGTCATCGCAAGGATGTTATCTTCAGAGACACTTAATCGCAATCGATCAGGAATATATTTGCGTAAGCGTTTCATGCGGTAGAATCATGTTTACAGCAACTAATGCGCTCGTCAGCTAAATTGTTTAATTTGTCTTTTAGCAGGCGATACTGTGGAACTTCATTACGACTATAAATGTAAATATTCGCGTTTATCGGCCGCGACTTTTGACTTACATTCAAATTATAAATATGTCTTATCATTTACTACGTGATAATTTATTTTTGATCTCTACAGTTCTCAGTTATAATGATATTTCGAAATGGTGCTAGATTTCAAAGTTATATATATTGAGTCGATTTTGAGTGAGTAGGAAATAAAATTATTAATTATTACTGAATCTGTAGAACTTTTATAGATTATGGTATATTTACAAGTTTTCAGATCTTTTCCTTCGAAAACTAAAGAAATGAGTAATTTCTTCATGTACTGAGATTTTATCAGGTAATCAAAAATGTTCTGACATTCATCCAGTTTACGAATTTGCGAATCACTTTTAAAAGAGCAGCGCTAATCAAACTCAAAGGCATTCTGTTTCTATACAATAATGCATATGACACGTGTGATCTGTGACAATATTCATATTCTTGGGTAGAAACTTCTTACGCATCCTCTTTATTCTACTGACTCTATTTTTAAGCCTAGACAATCATCTGTGAAATCAACAGTTCAGAAACAGAAGAACTATGAAAGAAACATTGGAAAGTTTCTTTACCATCAAAGATCGTAACTTTTGCAAAAATGATATTAATAAACTTATTTTCCATTAGGAAAAAGTTTTTACATGCGTAACTATTTTGATGAATAAATTGGTTTCTTTTTACATTTTTGCATTTTTTGTCATAAAAAAACGCCAGAACTTTTTTGGTTATCTAACAATGACCAGATTTCATACTGTTGCACATCACAATTGTACTGACCTTTGAAATTTTGTTTGAATTTTGGACATTGCTCTTCAGCAACTGATTTTACATACTAATTATTATTACTGCTACAATTATTATTACTACTTAATTATTTATTACGTAATAATCATACACTTATACACGCATTCCAATTAAATATCACTGCGAAAATATTAATATTTAATAAGTGCATTCGTTGCATGTGCGTGTGACTATAATACGATCGATGGGTTGGGCGGCGTGAAAAATAGCAAACGACAGATCGGTAGTGAACAGCTGTGAGTTAAGATGATAAAAAAGTGCGCATATCGCGACTTATTAAGTCTGCCGTCTGACAGTTCGATAATTAATAATTCTCGAAGGGTTGTTTACGTGACCCGTGATAAATGCTCGCCGTACTTTGCAGCTTTGTTGTGACTAGAAAGCCATAGCGTAATCGTTTTTCTTTTTCCGAAGACAATAGGTAATCATCAACATATTATGTAGAAATAAGTCGATTCATAAGAAAAGAAGATGATAGGCTGAATTACACACACAGTCGAGTGGGTATTGCAATAATCTCATTTTTATTCATAGAAAGCTGCTACGAGGGTGGTCCCTGAAGTACCCGACCTGACCTAGAGATAGCGGTAGTTGTTTGAAAAATATCACTGTATTAGAAAGTACACAATCTATAAAGCATATGTTTCAAGTTTGAAGACGCCACGTTGTTTAGTATTTGTTTGGCAGCCATCAATAGTGAACGTTTTCAGTGAATTTGTGAAAATGGAGAAAATTGGTCATCGTTATGTGATACAATACTTATATTTGAAAGGCCTCAGCCCAACCAATATAAAAGCTGAACTGGATTCTACTCTGGGTGAGTCTGCTCCTTCGTTTACAACAGTAAAATATTGGGTAGCAGAGTTTAAACGAGGCCGTACGAGCTGCCAAGACGAGCATCGCAGTGGTCGACCAAATGAGGTGACGATTTCAGAAATGGTGAAGAAAATTCACAAAGCGGTACTGGATGATCGTCGACTGAAAGTGCACGAGCTAGCAGACATAGTAGGCATTTCAAAAAGTGCGGTACATCGCATATTATCTGAAAATTTGGACATGAGAAAGCTGTGTGCAAAATGGGTGCCGCGTTTGCTCACACTCGAGCAAAAACAGTGTCGTGAAGATGTTTCAATTGAGTGTTTAGCGAAGTTTCACAGCAACAAAGCAGAATTTTTGCGCCGTTTCATAACCATGGATGAAACATGGGTCCATCACTTCAAAGATTTTCCAACGATGAAGAAGTGATATCGGCACTTAATGGCTATTTTGAGGAGCAAGACAGTTCTTATTATAAAAAGGGTATCGAACTTATTGAACATCGCTGGGAAAAGTGTATAGAGCTGAAAGGAGATTATATTGAAAAATAAATACATTTTTTTCCAAAATTTTTGTGTTTTCTTTGTTGGGTCGGGTACTTCTAGGACCACCCTCAAAGTGGTTAATTGCGACACGACTACCCGGGTTGAAATCAGTTCACGCTTCTAAAGCGTTTGCCATTTAAGTGGTAGAATTTTTCAACCACACGGGAAATATTTATGTGCATTCATTGCTATTTTCTTTTATTTCATTATCGGAATTTTACAATATCCATATTTATGGCTCCGTTAAAAGGACTTGTTTGACACGTATTTATCTGCGTACAATTAAAAAAGCTCGTAAGTTCACTTATTTATCTCATATTGACACAGAGTATCATCGGCGAACGAACCATCGTGACCATCGAAATCGTCGCATCAACAAATTTCGAAACGAAGCGCGGCCAGCATACGAAAAAATGCGATCTCGACGATGATAAATAATGTAATAATATCAACATACTTGAGCTTATAAAATTATTATTTCTCTCTCATTTCTAACTTAGTTACATGACAACGCGTTTAATGTGTACTCTCGACTAATCCGTTTAAACCTTTTCCTTTCGAGTTTTGCCTCGCATTACGACGATCATCGTGACGAGAATAAAAGCAGAAAAATAATAGAATGTTAATAATAATATTAGCAGTAAATGTAAATATATAGGATGGGTGCAATGAGAATATTACACAAAATAAAACTTTCTGATGTTCGCTCTTGCGACGTAGAATCGAAAGAAGATTGATCGGAAATAGGAAAAAAACTCGACGTATGTGCGGAAAAAAGAAATTGACATCGCAATTATAAAGAATGTTTCGGAGAATTTATTTCAGGTGCAGTCCAAATGCATTACACAGAACACAACGGCGTGAAAAGACGACGCTGCTAGCGTACGCGCTTATCTTCTCTAATTCAGTGCAAGTGTGAATCGGTCTCTCATTCCGGCGATCGCGCGTATTGGACGCAAGCTGCAAGCGGGAAATAAAGCGTGTACGCAAAATATATCATCGTTTGTAAGACTGTAGCCGAAAGTAGAGAAAGAGAGAAAGAGAGAGAGAGAGAGAGAGATAGATAGAGAGAGCAGTCGAGAGACAAGAAGACACGATCGCCTGTTAGAAGTCAAAGATTGCAGGGAGATTTCTTTTATATTGTAAGGTTCAGTTCTTCGGCCAGTCTGTGATAGACCAGCACATCTTTCATATAGAAGTTGGGCACGGTGAAGTTGAAGTTGTTTACGGGTCTGTCAAGCGGGTATCCCATTGGGTGACCGTCCGCTACGCTCGGGCCCCAGACGGGAGAATCGATCTTGAAGGACTTGGTCTCGTCAAACGGCGTCACACAGACGAACATCTTGAGCGGGAAGCCCTCCTTCTTGCCCTTAGGAAGCACCAGGCGTTCGGGGAAACCGTACAGTTGTCCTGGGTAGGTGAATGGCTCGTCGTTCTCAATGGCTTTTACGATCTTCTTGTACAGGACCTCACTCGGCACCTCGTCCGGAACAACGTAGATCGACTCGTGGCTGTGGCGCTCGATCTTGTTGATACCGGATTTCACTGCAAGAAACAGCGGATAACAGCGGTCGGAGATTTGTTTCGACAGTAAGTTCGAGTCTCGTACGAAATACTTCGATAGCAGCGAGTCGATATTGATTGTTCGTTCATTCATGACGTTCCAAGTTGAGTGAAAGGGACGACTTCTTTGCAAAAATGTCGAGAGACAGAGTGAGTAAGAAATAGATTTTGTATATTGTACGCTTTGAAACTAGTTTGAAAACGATTAGAAAAAAAAATTATTAAGTCAATTATAATTCGAAGAGATTCGCTGCTGATCTTGGAACACCTTTTCGCGAAGGAAAAGATACACGCCGAAAACCGAGAAGCCTGACACTTACGGTCAACGATCCACTGGTCTACCTCCAAGAAGTTCATGTAATTCTCGCTTATGTCGAGCTCGTGGCCGTGAACGTCGTATTTCGGCGCGAAGAAGATGCGAATGACCGCCTTCGTGTTCTTGTCGCTGTTCACCGTGATGTGATAGGTGAAGGGCTTGTGGTTCAGACGCTGCTGACGCGCCTTGATCAACATCGACTGAGCTTTCTCGTGGCTCTGCACCGACACGGCGTTATTGATGAGCGAATCGAAGTGATCGAAGAAAGTCATCAGCTTATCGACGGTGACAGACTCGATCTTCACGCCCGGGAAGACGAGTTCCTTGTGCGTGTAACTCGGTAAGTTGGCCTTGTATCTGTGAGACAAAATTAGCTTCGTTATCGTTAGGATACGATTTTGCAGTGATTCCTGTTTAATGTACAAATTACTTTTTCCCAATAACTTGCTATTATGTGACGTTATTTTCTTCGTTCATGACGGTAACAGTAACGTGCACAATCGTTATTTTTACCATTACTTTTTGTGTGCAGAATATGTGTACATGGAACAATATATTTAATAAAATACCCAAGGCTCTCAAGATGTACAATCAGTGGGAAAGAAAAGAAGGCCAATAGGAGTCCACGCAGGTAAACGCTCACAAGGTTTACGATACAAAGATAATAGTAATTCAAAGTTTAGTTTACAAAATTATTTAGATATTCCGGTCGTAGACTCCGACCCTCTTCAGTAGCAATAACAATAACGACAACGAATTAATGAGCAATGGTAGAGACAAGTTATTTTGCTCAATGGATGACTTTAAAAAATTAATTTTCCCAAGCCTACGTTCGTTCGCCACGGTCGCATACCTCATCCAATAGTTGACGATGTTCTTGGCCATTCCGAAGAACAGGGGATCCCTCATGCTGGTGCAGATGAAATGGAGAGAGGTGGGCACGATGTGGTACTTGGTAGTCGATTGCGGGACGAAGCCGAGGATCATTCTGTACATGTATTCCAAGCTACCGTAGTATTCCTTTTTGACCGAATCGGCATTGCCTTGGATCGCGTTGCAAAGGTGATTGAGGCCCTCTGCGGTGTCGTAGATGTTGATATGTTTGCCATGTTTGTCGACGAGATAGCCGTTGTCGATGGCGTCGGCGATGCGGTTCTGGAAGTCTTGCAGAGCCTGTTGGAACATTGTCCGATCGTGAGTGCGTAATGTCGAACGGATCTTTTTGAATAAAGTAATTGCTAAAATTATAGAAATAAATAAACCGGAGCTTTTGCATGAGCTTTCGGTAATTGAACGTGAAATCATTGCACGTGAATATTTTAATAATAAAAATTCCTATTATCAACAATCCTCAATTTTTAATTTACACACACACACACACACACACACATACACACACACACACACACACACACACATATGCGTCAATAATGTAAAATAAAAAATTCTTCTATTTAAAAATACACAAATTATGAATTAATAGAGACGAAAAGCATTAGTAATTTTAGCTGAAATAAGAAGAGAGACGTTTAAGAGATGTCAAAGAAGCATTCGAGAGATACGATGGTATCAAATGTTCTTGAAAGATATATATATATATTGCCGAAATATTCTTTAGACTTTGACTTTGGTGCTTGATAATAAAGCGAAAGGACATGAAGATACCTCAACGTAATGATGATTATGAAGAGGAATCTTGGAATTGACAGGGCGTTGAATGAACGGTACTCCGTTGTGGGAATGCATCGTCGGGTAATAACCGGTGACGATGGGTCTAGTCACGTCGACATAATCGATCTCGCCGATGTCGTTAGACAGTCTTTCCAAATAATAGCGAGTGAGCATCTGCTTAAAATTGTATATGAACGATTCACCCCGGATGTGCTCGGGCATGTGGTATTCGACGCTGTTCATCCACCATGGGAAGTCGTGGTACGATAGGTAGAAGTAAGCGTTCAGGCCGACGTCCTCGATGTAGTAACTCAACTTCTGTTGTTCTGGTGTTTCATCCCTGACCACGTACCAGCCGCTGTAGTTGGCGGGAATGTAGTATGTGTCGACACCGCTAATCGTCTTCTTTATGCTCGCAGTACCTGCTGAATTATTTTTCGATCTTAGAAAAATATTTACATCTCGAGTTACATTTATTTACTTTCGTATAATTCAATCGTCAGCTTTGAACTTTTGTACGGTCAACGGGAATGGACGTGTTTAATACTCGTATTATTATTTCATCGTCCTTTTGACATTGTCGCGAGAGAACGTATACGGAGATCGGTTAGATCAGAAACCGGGATCGTCAACGATCGGTGTAGATATTGAAAAAAAAACCGGCAAAGTTCTGGTTCAAGATTTTCGACAGAGGTTGAGCTGTTATTGTTCGCTCCTACCGATACTAACTTGTGTCACCCATCGCGACATGATAGGCCTTGTGCAAGACGTCCTCGTTGAAGAAGAAGTTCGGGAGGACTTCGTACAATGGCGGCACACGGAGGTCGTTGGTGTCTGGACGGTGCATCACGGCATTGATCAACGCGTAAACGAACGTGTGCTCGTTCACGTGGAATCGCGCCCACACGGCTGTGTTGTAGAAGGTGTCGAAGTCCTTGGCGGTGTACAAGACGCGGAACAGACAGATCATCTCGTCATAATGCTGGCGGTATATCACGGAGAACACATCTCCACGTGGGAGCATTCCGTGCTTCCATCGCTGCAGGAACTCGGTCACTATCGCCTGGAACAACGACGAGTGTCAAACTCCTTCATCAAACCGTCGAATCGAAATCGAAGCTGACTTCATGATTCCAAATTGGCACAGACGGCCGAACGGTTGAGAAGCTTCTTACATTTCATCAAGAGAAACGAGAAAGCGAGTTCAAGTTAACGTGGTATCCCCACGGTATTACTCGCAATGTTCGTTTTGATACATATTAGAGGTCTACGATAGGTAGACCTGGACTAATGCGCAATATAATTAAGTTATTAATAGTTTCGTAACAGATGAATTTCAAAGACTTTGAGTATCGTCTGTGAAGCGTGTAATACCTGGTCGTTGTAGGAAGAGATGTTGTCTTCGACGCTGAAGGATCGCGCCTTCTGGTAGAGCTCTGGATGATAGACGGTCGGCTGGTCAATGTGCCAAAAGAGCTCGTAGATGCTCTTCTGCTTGGTCAGGTACTGCTTAGTGGCGGTGTGTGTGGGCACCTGCGTGGCGTGAGCCAGGCAGGCCGCCGCCAAGATCAACGCAACCGCTTTCATCCTTGTGTGTTGTTTGATGTACGAAGGATCGGCCGGCACAGTGGCCGAATCAGTTTATATACCTTCTGGACCGAAATCAATAAAAGAGATATGAAAAATGACGTGGTGAACAATCAGAAGCTGATGAGGCAACCCATCCACCGATAACCATTAATTTATCTCTCTTACTCTTTTCTCTCTTTCCCTCTCTCTTTCTCTCTTTCTTTCTTTCTTTTCCCCTCTTTGTCTAACTTGCAAGAATTATCGTCGCTGGTAATCGTGTGCACTTTGACATTATAGAAATCCGGGATACACGGCTCTTTCACATGTCTGTTACAGTTTATTTGGTTTCGCCCCGAGGAAGAATTCGCTCCTCGAAATATTCCGTTCGTACAAGTACGTTGATATCTTGGACATCCGCTAATGTGTAAGGCGAATGAGTTGCGCCCGAATTAAATGGAATTAGAATAAATTTTAAAATTAAATTTTAAAATTACACGGCATAATTCTTCTTGTAATACATTTAATTTAAATTTATAATTATTTTCATAATAACTATTCTATTCTCCAAAGATGATTTACTAATTAAGATTGAATTAAGATTGACGGATTTTTTTCTGATAATATGAAAAAACTAAGACTTGTGAACGTTTATCGAATAGCATTCGAGCAACTTTATATACTCAATCTTAGTATTATATATCGAACTTCTTATGCATTTTTATCAATTATTGATAACTGATTACAATTTTAATTGCACTCTACAGCGTTCGCACAGCGCGATAACGCAAGCGTACGTAAATAACATCGTGTAACTTTGATTAATTCAAATCGTAATTGTGACCTGTCACCTATTGCGATTATGTAATTTGTTATTCATCGTTATTATTCATACATTTTACTATTTTTGGACGAGTGGAATCTTTTAATCAAACAAGATAAATTGAATTAATATCAGCTTGTAAGATAAACATATAAAAATCTTGTTTCTAAATAATTTGGATGAACAATTCTGTTAAAGCAGATAAAGATTTACTATAAATTTTCTCCAAAATACCTATGCGCATTTATGACTGTATATGTCACTTTACGATAAGAAGGATCGATTCATGTACCTGTTCTTTGCACATATATGCATCAATACTGCAACTGCATTCCTTTTAAAATCCTGTTGTGTATTTTTTAAATTAATTTATTTTTCTCATCATTTTATGTATGTATCAATGTATTCAAATAAAGCTAATGAAAAACCGATATTTCTTGAAATGCTTCGTGTTTTTTATATAAGAATATTTTCAGAAAAATAAAATATATAATATCTCAGGCTGACGAGAAAATTATATTAAGTAAAAAAAAAGAAAATATTTTTTATTTAAAAATAAACGTTATCTTTAAATCTTTTAAATACTTCTATTTAGAAAATTTTCGTTCGACCCATTTTATATTTCCTTTAAAGACATAATGTAGTCATATAGACTAACTTAAGACTACAATAGTTGGATTTTGACGATATTAAAGAACCTCTTCATAAGTTCATTATTTACTGAAAAAAGAAACTTTCCTATAACTTTATTATATGCCGCTTGAGCTAATAAAGGTGCACACATTACATGGTAGAAGGTGGTATATAAATATTTAAATGTACATATATACATATATATCACTATGGATTTTACTATAAGCTGTAAATTTCCTATATATAATTATATCTTTAAAACAAAATGCTAAAAAATTCTAAGATTTTTGTATAAATTATATTCTTTATATTAATACTTAATTTCAGAACATTTTTATTATTAAAATCCTAAAAATGTGGTTTAAAAGAAATTAAAAATATAAATTAAAAATAGAGCATTAACCTTAACAATATGTGTAAAGTGTCATCTTTAGTTGCGAATATCTCAGCTTTCGAAGTTAATCGTTTTTTAACTTATATTGTTTTTGAATAGACGTGTAAATAGTATTTTCATCAATGTACAGCTAAAATTTAAAAGAGTTACTAAAAAAATAATTTGACGGACCAACTACTTTAAATAATACAATTAGGAATTGTAAATTTGATGATATATCATTTAACATCACAAATCTTTACTTACAATAGATAGATCTGTAGTTAAATCTAGTCCTGATAGAAATCCGCTTGCTTAAGGATGGAAGATAATTAACAGAAATATTGAATTTCTGCGATCAATTTGCTGTCAAAAATGCATCTGGCGATTATTTCATCAGCTATCGATATTACTAATCTGTCGAATGTATCTTATCGAAATCTGTCAAATTAATATTTAACATTTCGCTCATTGGGGGAATGTTACGAGTGACAAAAGCTGAAGAGTATTTAATTTTTGTCTTAATATATCTATTCTTCTACGTTTACATTTTTATGATACACAAAATTTTCCGTTATATCGCAGATTTCTCTCTCTCTCTCTCTCTCTCTCTCTTCTTCTTCTTTTTCTTCTTCTTCTTCTTCTTTAAGGATTGAATCGTAAATAATAAAAAACCTTGCTAGGTTTTCGACGTCGCTGATGAGCTCACATTTTTTATTCAACTTATTAAAACTTTACACGAGATTTCGTGTTTCTTAAGTTTCTCAAGCTGTTAAAATTCTAAATATCTTCCTCGCCTACAATTTCGTAACAATTTTCGAAAAAATGTGAAATCATTTTAATGACACAGCAGTAAATTAGTCGTATTATTAAGTCGTATTATTAAGTCGTATAAAATCGAATATTCGAGCGTCAGGAAGCCAAATGTGCCGATAAGTCGCCAAGATCGACATCGTGCGCAAATCGAAAGAATTCTCTCGCGTTATTTCGACACGCATAGGGATTCGTTAAGCGCACGCTGAATATGCCGGAATAAGGGCAAAGAAATGAACATTTACACGTAAGGTATTCTCTCAGTATTGTTTATTGAAAGAAACTTTGCGATTCGCGCATCGGTGTGGTGCAGCGGCGACAACTTCCGTTAAAGTGTTTTATCCAGATTGAATGGGGGAATCTCGAGCAAGTCAGCAGGTACAACTTAGTAGTGGGTCTTCTCGGCCTCCGTGTTGTGATAGATGAACACGTCGGTGTAATACATGTTGGGCGTGAAGAACTTCCACGGGTGCGTCGGTCGGTCGAGCGGGAAGCCCAACGACTTTCCGATCAGTATGTACTTGCCGAAGAACGGCAGTTCTATGTTCGTAATTTTGGCCTCGTCGATCGGGCTCAAGTAGAAGAACATCTTGTAGCGCATACCCTCGGGCTTGCCCTTAGGTAGGTAGAGACGCTCGGGGAAGCCGATGATCTTCTCGTAGTAGGTGAACGGCTCGCTGCCTTCGACGGCCTTCTCCAACTTCTTGTAGTACATATCGGCGGGCGTCATGTCGGGCATGGTGTAATAGGAGTCGGAGCTGCGGCGTTCAATGGTGTTGGCACCTTGTCTCACTGGAGGAAAAGAAAACGCATAGAGTCCAAGTTGCTCGTTGGATGCTTCAAAGTGAAATCTCACTTAAAATTAGTGAAAAGATTCACTTAAAGCGAAAACGCCCTCGCTCGAAGTCGCAGGAATAAATGTCTCACTCAAACTTAGAGCGATTTTACTACTTGAATTTCTAGGAGTAAAATCTCACTATGAAAACAAGTGAAAAGTATTTTCACTCGATGTCGTGAATGTTTCGCTAAGATCAGAGCGAATTCTGAGTCAGAATTTCTGACTACGTACGAGCGATTACTTTGATTGATCGGAGTGAATATGTGACGGTGGAGCACATCAGATTCACTCTTTAGTTTCGAGTGAAGATATTCACCGAATGGTTAGACTAGAATGGAGAATTCACCTTACGTGAGGGAAAAGTCACTTTCGTGTGGGATTTCACTCGAAGAAATTCAGAGAGAATTGAAAAATCAAACTTACGCGTCACGACGAAATTGTCGAGCTCGACGAAGTATTGGTAGTATTCGCGGAGGTAAGACGTGTCCTTCTCTTTGTGATGATGGTGGTCGAAAGCAGGTCCGAGGAAGATCTTGAGCGAGGCCTTGGTCTCCTTGTCGCTATTGATGTTGAAGTGGTAGGTAAACGGCTTGTAGTTGAGGCAGTAGCGGCGGGCCGTCAGGCGCAACTTCATCCCTTCCTTGAAACTCTCCACATCGATGGCGTTGTTGATGTAGGTGTCACAGTAGTCGAAGTACGTCTGCAGCTTGTCCATGCTCACGGATTCGAACTTGACGCCAGGGAAGATCAGCTCGCTCTGGGTGTAGTACGGCATATATTTCTTGTACCTGCGAACGGGAGACAGGTGTGAACGGAGCTCTCTACAATTGGGGACTTAGCAGTAGATAGGAGGGTCATTCGCGAACCTGAAGAAGTACGACATGATCCTCTTGTAGAGGCGGTAGAATCCTGGGTCTCTCATGCTGGTGCAGTAGGTTTGGAGGGCGCTGGGTATCACCTTGTTCTTTTCCTTGTAGTCGAAATTGAAGCCGAGGATGTCGCGGGCGAGGGCGTCATACATGCCGTAGAAGCGCCGGTTGCACGAATTCACGTTACCTTCGATCAAGTTGGCGAGGATGTTCAGGCCTTCGGGGGTGTAGATGTTGACCTGTTTGCCGGTCTTGTCGTGTACGTAACCGAGGTCGATGGCGTTCATGATGCGCATCTCCAAAGTTTCGATCTCCTACGGAGGAAAGATTCGCGTGAGGTAGTGGATAGATGAAGCGGACGAACGAGCTTACCTTCAGGTACTTATACTTGTAGAAAGGTACGTTAGAGTAGCGTGGCCGTTGCGGCATCGCGATACCGTTGTTGTACATTAGAGTGGAGTAGTAGCCGGGATAGAAGGGTTTGTTCCAGTCGAAGTTTTCGACGTAGCCGAGGTCGTTGGAGACGCGTTCCAAGATGTAACGAGCGTACATCTGTTGGTGCTGGTAGTAGTAGAACTGGCCTCGGAAGTTCTTCGGTAGGTCGAATTCGTTCATGTCGAGCCAGAACGGGAAAACCTGACGGGAATAGTAATAGTAGGTGTTCCAGCTGTAGTCCTCCATGAGGTAGTCCATTTTGTACTCGTCGTCCAAATAGGGCTTGACGAAGTTGCCGGAGTAGTTGGCGTGGATCACGTAGTTGTCGTAGTTGTCCATGCCGGTCGTGCTGATACCTGTTCCATTGGCGTAAGGAGGGAAGAGAACGAATGAAGAAGTCGGTCCTCGAACGTTTTGCGAACGCAAATTTCGAGCCGGGATACGTCTTACCGCGAGTCATTTTGATGCGATGAGCCTCCTGGATGACGTTGCTGTCGAAGTACAGGTTGGGATAGGTCTCATAGGGTGCGGGTACCCTCATGTACTTGCAGTCGGGGCGGTAGAAGACCGCGACAGTGAAGGCCGAAGTGAAGACACCGTCGTTGAGGTGAAGACGAGCCCAGCAGGCGGTTTTGTAGAAGGTCTGGAAGTCCTTGGCGCAGTAAAAGAGCTTGAAGAGGATCTTCACTTCCTCGCGGTGTTCCTCGTAGTACGGCGAGAAGATCGCGTCGCGTTGGAGCATGCCCTGTCTGTAGAAGTACAGGAACTCCTGGGCAATCGCCTGCAAAGAAACGAAGAGGAGATTAATCGGCGGAATTAACGAGCTAGTAGAGAAGTTAAGGAAGCTGAAAAAGAGACGGAGAATCTAGATAATAGAAGAAAGCGAGAAGTTCAATCTCGTTATTAATCTTTGGAAGTAAATATTTCCAAGTATTTGTAACGGATCAAGCCTTCAAGAAGCATTCTTGGCGGTACTTTGTCGCGTTAAAAGTGAAATTTAGGGCACCTTGTCCTTGTACAAGTCGATGTTGTTCTCGATGTCATAGTTGCGGCCGATCTCGTAGAACTCGGTGTCGGTGAGGGTGTTCTGCTTGACGAAGAACAATAGCTCGTAGATCTTCTTCTGCTTGTGCAGGAAGTCCATGTCGGCGGTCTTACCGGAGATGTGCATCGCGTCCGACGCACATAGCGCCGCGAGCGCCAGCAACAGCAGTTCCTTCAGCATCTCGTTCAGCCTTCGACGGTCTTTCCTCGGTCTTCAGCGACTACCTCTGCGAGTCGACAGAGGCGGAGGATAGCTGGCTGATGTATGACCCAGGCCAGCTTTTATACCGGTGAAAACCGTGCGATTTCATCCTAATCGGGCTGGCCTTAACCCCGCCGACCTGTCCAGGTTCCGCCCGTTTTCTCCTCTTCGTTATCTGCTCCGGGTGCGTCGCACCTTCCGAATACACCCCCGCTCGCTCGCACAAGTCATCGCGAGAAAACGAAAAAACTGTAATTCCACGGCGGTTTTGCAAGCGTGAGATAAGCGGAGACCTCACGTTATACTTTCTTCCTCTCTCTTGTTTTGTGCGTTTATTCCATAAAATAATTCCATTGCCGATGTCTCATCGCAGTATGTCGCAAAATTGTACAAATAACTTCGCCTATGTATCAATTTGCATATACCGAGTCGAGCTCTTCTTGACTTGAGAACAAAGACTCGCCAGATGTTGCTTTAATAATCGAAAAGTCGATGAATAATTACTTGGCGCGATATTTTATACTTTACGATAGAAATATTCTTCTCAGTTGTTTGTTGATTTGATTCTATAAACGTCTAAGGCGATCCTAAAATTTGTGAGGGTAACGATGTGAGTAGTTATACATCGGTGTGCACCCGTGAAAATTTAGAAGTAATAATCAATATCCTAGACTAAGTGGAAGATCCTTGATAGAGATTATTACGTTTACATTTCATTAGCTCTTATCTCCGGCATTCTCCACGTTTTCGTTTCGGCTCGACAATTACCGCGATAACGAATCGTAATTAAGATTACAATACTTATATGCACGTTATAAGAAATTCAGCGAAATTCATGCTCGTAAACATGATTGCATTAACAATAAAAAGAGTATTTATTTTTATTACAGATATAAAATACACATCGTTTATATGTGTAAATACGAATTTAAACTGCCGTTGCCACACCGTCCATTATCGAGTTGATAGAGTCGTTTTTTAGATTTATTTTTCAGGTTCAAGCGAGTCAAATATATGAACACAGATGTTTGACGAATCAGCGACACGTGCCAATTTATCGTGTGGCTGGTCTTTTAGGGTTTATCATGTTTATTCGACATTCGTTAAGATTCGGTAACTGTCGAGCGATTTAAACCGCCAAATAACAAAATTGGCTCGATAACGCTTGCAATACGTAAATAATTTCATTGCAATCCGAACAAAACACAAACGGCAGAGCAACAGATTGCGTGCGTTTGTATTTTTCCACTATTATTCATAGTGTGGATCTGTTATTGATAATATAGCCGGATAAGTGATTTTACGTAAAATGATAAATCGAAGATTTGCAGAATGAAATATTTTTTATACGGACCTTTGCTCCTTTTTTGAGCAAATTTTTAATCTTGAAAATTGAAAAAATAATATTTTCATCGCTTTTAAACTTTTATATATATTAGGTTGGTGCATATGAAATGTCGGATTCTTAAGTGATTGTATAAAACTGTATATCTTTCTTCAAAAGCTGTTTATTCAATCAAAGTATGCTCCATTCGCTTCAATACACTTCTCCCAACGAGATTTTAAAGCGTAGATGCCTGTCTTAAAAAAATTTTGGTCTTTAGAATTAATAAACTCTGATATCGAGTTTTTTAGACTGTCTTCATTTTCATGGTGTTTGCCTCTTAAAAACAGCTCTAAATGCTTGAAAAAATGAAAATCGGTCGGCGAGAGATCCG